AGGGGACTTGGGGTCTCCCTTTAAAGCACAAGGCTGCGAGCGCACCGCTTCCAACAGAACCTTTAGGACCTGCACCGCAGTTGCGTGCAGGAGTGATTGCTCCGTCGCGGGCGCGGCTGTAACAGGTGCGCGCGCCTGTTCCCCAACATGCGCGTTCGACTGAAAAGGGCCAGTACACGACATGGAGGAGGAAAGGTTTGCGCTCCGACTGCTGCTTGAGGCCTCACGCGACTGGCCAACAGATCGACAGCGGAGCACGGTGGCCCACGTCCGTCGAAAGCATCGCCCACGCGAGTCTTGGGCCAGCGAGCATCGGTGAACGCGGCGACGTTGTCGGTTAAGCGAGCAGGCTCGCTAACGACATCGTCAACCCTTTGCGCACGCGACCACGGCGGGTCAGTAAGCGCGTTCCCACCAACACCTGAGTGCCCCCGGTAGGAAAGACTGGATGCGGCGATTTGAGCTGTCAACCGTGCTGCTGACGGGGAAAGGCCAGCGAGTGGAGACTGCGCCGGGGACGGGCCCGTAAGCGCGTGAGCCTCGAACAGCTGATACAGCCCGTTACTGGCTTGGCTAGAACTGTGGTCCTTGTTCAAGTGACTCGCATTACCGTAGGGGGCCCCGAAAAGGGATCGCTCCCGGTGAACGAAAGCAGAGGGTCGCCGAGAGGGCCGTACGCCATGCTGTTGCAGCCGTCCGCCTCGAACAAGATCAAGTCCGTCGCCACAAGATCGAACAGGAACGAGCGCCTCGAAGGGGTCTGCTCTGAAACCATGCCGAAACCAAGTTGGCCACCAGTTATGTGGAGATAGGTTTGCACAAGGCTTACCAACTAAGCGCAACCGTGTAGGGATGCGACGACCTCCACTGCTGCTGCGTGCGAAGACGCTGCAGCCGGGTTCGTCGATTTCTCTGGCATGGTGCAGAAACCACGCACGAGGCAGGCTAACAACAACAACGGGTTTATTAACCCAAGATGCAGCACAGTGCGACACTCACGGGCTTGCAGGCCGTATAGGGAACTCCGCAAGACCGAGCAAGTACGCTTGCCTAGGGCGCGACGACTCCCGCACAAGGGCCGAAGTCGAACGCGCGAACGAGAAGCCGCCTGCTTAGTAGCGCGTCAACCCCTCGTGAAGGCCTGAGAGCATCTGCCACGACGAGCGAATCGTCATAACACAGCTCGTAAGAGAGGAGGATGTCACGCACGCCCAAAGAGAAATGGCGCTGCGTTGTGACGTAAGCCCACGCAGCGCGCCAGCGTAGTGTGCCCAGACATGCCAGCGCGGGAAGGAGCCGACGGTCGACTCGCCCAGACCAAGAGGCGCCCTGGCAGCCATCTTGGCAGATGCCGGTGCTTATGCGCGCGCAGGCTACGCTGTCGGCGCGCGTGCGGCAGCTGGGGAACGAGGCGCCAGGTAGGAGGGCGCTCTTGATTCCCGCACGGGGTTGCCTCAAACCTTAAAACTGCCTTGGAAAGAATCCCGGATTGTATGCGCTAAAGCAAGTGTCTGAAGTTTCGAGTGGTGCTGATTCAAATATTCTGGATGCAATTCAAGCGTTGGAAGTGCTACTATGCCACAAGTACGCTTCACAAACTTCAGTGAAAGTAGAGCGTTCTTTTTCACGTAAAAGCAAATACTAACTGGAAGCAAGCACAATTCAAGCACGAAAAGCTTGAGATGATGCTGGTTTGTCATTGTTTTCACAGCTTTTCCCACAATGTCAAATTACCTCGCTTTTCACCTGAAACTGTTCAAATTATTATGCTTCTTGATTCTTTTCATGAAAAAAATACATTTAGCTTTCCCACTGCACAGAATTTGCCTGCTGTGTTTGTTAGAAGTTGAATAATTGTCCTGAGCACGATACTGAAGTAATTATGACTTGTGCCTATATATGCCTAAATGATAGTTTTTAATGCCTACTTATGCCTAAATGGCAGTTCTTAGGGCGTATTATAGGCATCTAAAACAATCATTTTTCGCACTTAAAGTCCTGGTCTCTATCTATAACATCTGTATTGATACTCTGCATGGCAATTTTCAATAATACTGGATCAACCTTACCTTTTCTAGAGATTAGCTTGATTAATTGTTTACGTAGGTGTGCCCTTGGAGGCTGCAGTGTAGAACCTTGTTGATATGTTTCAAAAAAAATATGCGGAAGATAAACGTTCCATCTAAGAAAACGTATGATCCAAATCCCGCAAAAATTAAAGCTGACAAGTTCAAATAGAGGTGTAAGGGCAAAAAGCATTTATTTCTAAAAAAAGAAAACAGTAACCTTCTGCTGATGCCTGTCACCCCTCGGCAAGAAAAGCTCCTTCTGAACACATTGTAGACCCTTGTCCACTTGTTCATTGGTTTTCGAGCAAACGAAGCTTTGTAAAGCTTCCAGTTGGAGCAAGGGATTTGGCGAAGTTAGCCGGTCGGTGCACGCTTTTGTTCTCGTCGCTGTCTTCCGATGCCTCGTCCTCCACCTCCCTATTTGCATCGCCTCACACCACCTCAGCGACCTCGGTGACACTATGCGGCTGGAATTCGGGATTTTGTCGTCTATCAAGACGAACTCAGCGAACGGTGCATTGGTGCCAGTGGAGAGGAACTCCACATCGATGTCATTGTCGATGTCAGACGCACACACCACAAGGTCGTCCTTGCTGCGCTCTGTATAATCTGATGCAAGCTGCCGCTGAAAACTGCACTTCCTACAAGAGCTGCTAACCTTTTCACTCGTCACATTGTCCGATGAACTGCTCAAATGCCGCATCACGTCAATAAGCGAAGTTCCCAGGTCATCACCAAATGACACACGAGCAAGGAAGAGCCAATCCAATTGAAACCAAGCCAAAAAGGCAAGTGCGCGTTGCGATGTGTTAGTACATTGGGTCCGTGCTGTGGTTACACTAAGGGGCTACACTGCTGCTTTCAGGCTGAAAGTGATTGATCATGCACTAAACAACAGCAAAAGGACCGCCAGTAGGCACTTTGGAGTCTACTAGTTTTGTGTCCGCTACCAATGACAGCAGCACAGGTAGCTGAATGTCACCAAGACACGCTGGGCCTTCCGTGTGCCTTAGACTGAGAAGAATGCCAAAAGTTTATTCCAACAGAAGGTAACTGGAAACGATTCGGTGTTAGATAGACATGAGCCCGAGTTTGGTGTCGTACACTAACCTTTTGCAAGCTCCCATTGAGTGACGAACGCTAACGCAAGCATTGTTCGCAGCTTTTGTGCCTCAAACAAATCTTGCCTTGTGTTGAACCTGTGGTTTTATTGAAGTCTTGATTAGTACTTCTCAAAGTTTTTAGCTAGTTGCTAGCGTGAGAATACAGATTTTTGGTCGCTTCGGCTTTTTTTTTTCCATTCCTTATGTTTTTCTACCCTCTACCTTTTCGTCCCTTTTCCGCAAAAAAAAGTGCAAGTGCATTATGCGAGTGTGGCATCCCTGATTTTTTTGCCAAGATACTAAGTGAGATACAAAGCACTGTGCTGCAGAAAATAACAGGCATTTTTTGAAATCTGAAGACTGACGGCTCAGACCGGTCTGAGTGTGTGAAAAGAAACCGCCATCGCTGTGCGACGGCAGCCTGGCACTTGGCCTTTCACAAGCACGCTATAAAAATGTTTCACCACACTTGAATGAGATTTTTGCCTGTGGAACGTATTATAGTACGGCAGTTTGCTGCGATGCCGAATTTCACTGCCGAATAATCAAACTTTCTGAGAATGTATTAAGCGGTATGTATCAGCAAATAGCGGGCATTTATAGCTTTCGCGATTTCGAGCGTATGAGCCGGGAAATCATATTAAGCGGGAACATATCAACGAGGTTGTACTTTATTATTGCTAATTTTACTCAAACAATGCCCTTTTACATTTTCGTTGATGTGGCAACGAAATCCGAGCTCGGCCTGGGCAGCGTAAATGTGGCAGAGCTCAGACCATTTCTAATATAACTGCTTATACTGTGAGGCTTCATGTGACCACCAGATCAGTGCGAGTTGAGTGTTAGCGTGCTGCCTAGTGGGGAGAACCACACAGGACTATAGGGCGGGCACAGTGCTGTTTGTCCTAGGAGTAGGGACGGTGAAATGAGCACCCTCTGCAAAAAGTGAAGAAAGTGGTGAAACTTGTCGCAAGTGGGGAGAAAAACAGCACCCCATTCACAGAAAAGCAACTCAAGCAGCCGCTTTTCTTTTCCTCTGCTTTTGTTTTCTCTGGGCGGCACCATGACGAGGTGCTCGTGCTACTAGTGTGCATTAATGCACGCATTCCCTGCTTTGATGTGACGACAAGCGCATCGTCTACAGTGTGAGATGTCATTCTCAAGCCTACTGTGTCTCACCACTCTATGAGAACCCTGCAGACAGATGCAGGCGGCAACGACCCCTTCAGTGAGTGCGTACCTTACTGAGGACACGTACTTTGGGCGCCCCTGTGTGCACTCCCACACAGTGGACGAAAGGGAAGGAGAGGCTATCAGCAAGGTGTCTGTTCATTCGCTGGGCGTGGCCAGTTGACCTGCCCACTGCTCTGCACACATGCTAATCTTTTGTTCTCGCATTTCTGGCAAGTGCATGAGTGTTCGAAAATGCGTCGTCAGCATTGCAGACCTAGACAACAGAAAAAGTGTTGGAGCACCACTGCGGCCTGCCCACAGCTGCTACATGTTCACTTATGTTGCAGCACCATGCGTTGCGCTGTGCTGAGTAATCATGGCACCTGATCCTTCCATCCCGCAAAAATGACAAGCTTTGTACCTCAAGACCGAAGCATGGCAGAGTAGATGACGTTGAGAGTGGTAGATGACGTTGAGAGTGGTTCTGTGCCTAACACTCTGTGCCATTGTAATACCTGGGCCCTGTTAATTCTGTTATATTCCAATAGCCACCGTACGTGGTCCAGACTGATGTCAAACTCTAGCAGCACGTGAATGACGTTTGTCACTTGGGTATCAGCACGGGTATCTGGACAGCGAAGCGTGATAGACCTACTTGGGCGAGCTGTGCAGTTGGTACAGGTGCTGCATGCGCACCGTCCTCAGAGAAGACAGGCACGACCGCACAGTGCCCAGGTGTGCCAGCACCGACTCGCGCGTCTGCAGCTGCACCTCGGCAGGGGCCTGTTGCAGCACGCTGGCCGAGAGTGCGTCTCCGTCGAGCTGCATCTCACTCAGCCACTGGGCCAGGAAGCACTCCAGCTGGAACATGCACGAGCCACACAGCGCTACGCTACATCAAGTTGGCAGGGCTCATTTACTTCATTAGCTACACTTCAAATGTGAAACATCACGTTAAAGTGGCTAGTCCTTGGGCTAGCTGCTTCCAAGTGTCTTGTGAATGTGATTGAAAAAGTGCTTTGGGAAAAAGTAGGACAGGACAAGAAAGATGCAACAGGTTTTATCATAACAAATGTTTCCCACCACGGAAGTACATGCGCACATTCTGGCACAGTAATCAATTTTCACTCTCAATAAGCACATGAAAATAGCGTCAAGTCACAAAGAAGTGCGATAACAATTGCAAACATAAGAAAGCTTAGAGGGGGGCACTTGTTCATTCGTATTACTGAAATGCAACATTAATTCCTCAATTAGGCAGTGCTCAGATGACAGACTGATACATACACCTATAGTTCAATACAACTTTGGAAGTCTCTGGCATTTCGTTTTCCAAGGGAGGATGCACACGAGTGCACACGAATCGGTGAGCCTTCCAGGCGGACGTCATGAGCCAAACAGAACACTGCCGGGTGCCTGAGCGGGACTATTTCTTCAGTTGTGGAGGCAATCAACTTCCACGATCTGTGCATGGTTTCTCCAAACTTCTGCAACTACATGTCATCGCAACAGCTGGACTACTAACATTATGAAATCTTGCACTCTTAAAAATGCTCTTCCAAATTATTCATACCCAGCTAAACATCGACTGCTCTAGATTCGTATCCATTTCAGAAACCACACAGTCATGCCACCAACATCCATTAACACTACAGGAATATTGTTTCCACACCAACTGCTTTAAGTACTCTTTTTTACTACAGTGAATTAGAGAATGAAATAGATTGCCTCTCATTATATCTAACAGTAAGGTTTTGAATATCTTTAGCTTTACTTGATCAACATATTCATGCCACTCATAGTTGACCCTTATGACTTTTTTTTGGATTTCTAAAAATGTTGAGTGATTTTTAGAATGTGTCAATTTATCAGTGCCATATGTAGTCCAGTTTCTCTTGTATTTATTAGTGACATGTTTTCAGTGAAGACATAGAAGGCATCTACTATGCACTATTTAAGTATACTAAATGAGTTTTGTCCCACAGCTTATGCTCCTACACTCCATGTAATACCTAATATAGAATATTTGTAGTCATGCATTTTCACTTATTAAATGTATGTATATTTCCTGTGCATTTCGGTTTCCCTCCTGCAATAGTCCACATTGTGACTGGCAGTATATAAAAAGAAATAAGTAAATAAATAAATTGTTAACCTGGCCAATGAGGTTCACAATACTGCTTCTTCTTTCTTGGAATGTTTCGCAAGTAACACTGCACAACAGATTGTGACTGGCCATCAAACGGCAACTGTTCTTCACAGCAAGCCCCATATTCTGAGATGATTGCGAGAGGCTACCAAGTCCCCTTTCGCAATCTACAATCTCGTGTGCTTAATGACTGAATCATTGCTTGCCTGTGACATCATTGTTGCACTGGCCACAATTGGTGTTATGAATATCTCGCTACACAGGAGTGAGCGAAATGTACAACCGCGGAGCAATTAAGGTGTGCCATTTTCGAGTGTGTGTTTGCTTCTACGGCAAAGCCAGGCTTGGCTGTAGCTACTTGAAATATAGGACGTGTTGACAGTGTTTATAATGTTTCTGAGCAATTCTTCACCCCCCTTAGGTGCGCTTCACCTGAGTGCACACGTGGGCAGATAAAAACGTGCCGGAACGACGGCCACTAATTTTTTGACAAGTTTAGTGGGAATGCTATTTGGTCTTGCAACAAGTGCTTCATCTGCCGAGTCAATGTTCAGCCACAGGTAGATGCACTGTGCGGGCGTTTTTTTGCACGTCTTGCTTGCGCGCGTTGTTTCCAGTTACAAAAGCATGATGGTTTAGCCGTTAGAAGAAATATAGGCAGCTTAGAGGACATGCGAATGGCGGTATGGGCCACATAATTTTGCATGGCATCAACGAATACTAATGCATGACATAGCCTTTGCCCAAGAACGCTGATACCTGGTGCAAATTCAACAAAGCTCAGTTCAATGGTGAACCATACGTTCACAAAGAACACTATCCGGCATCTGTACTTGAGGGTGTTAAGCCAATTTATGAGCAACTTGCAAAATTACTCCATGAGAAAACTCAAAACCGCAATGAGTCGTTCAACAATGTTGTGTGGGAGCGCACTCATAAAAACGTGTTTCTCGGACACCTAACACTTAAAATATGCAGCCTTGACACTGTAATAACCTTTAATGATGGCAATATAGCTTGTGTAAATGCACTGAACTCGTTTGGAATTTCACTTGGTCGCTACACAGTGCAGGGCCTATGTGCACTTGATCTGCATCAACAGTACTTCGCTGACAGGGCTGCGAACTACAGGACAATGGAGGCGAACGAGGCCAGATGCCTCAACTCAAAAAGAAAAAGTGATATTTGTGATGAGTATATGGCTGGTGCCTATTGAAAATGCCCTTCAATTGGCGCTTATTTTGTAGTACTTTTCAAATAAAGCATATTTTCCACTTTAAATGACATTATCTCAGAACATGCTTTTTTTTTGTACTTATGTACCTTTTCCTGAGCAACCACTGTATCTAGAAACATAGCCAGTATTGAGAGAACGTGCTACAGAACATGCTGCAGCATAATTTTTCTTGCGTGAGGAAGAACCCTTTTTTAACAAGACATCAAATACCAATTAATAAGTGGTAATTAGGTACCTCAAGTAAAAACATTGCAAAAAATTAGCATTATAAGTTTCAGAGATAATTCTGCTTCATTAAGAAGAGAAATGGCTTATGATCTCAATGATGGTAAAATAACTATTGTAACTTTTATGGTTATAGAGAAAGAAATACATAAAGTTGGCCTAAAACATACGGCAGGTATTGGGCTTACCCTGTTCCCTTAACACAGTGTAATCAGTGATTTCATCTGTGGTGTGCCACCACAGCAACATTCTCTAGACATCTCAACATGTTGCGGGCATGCAGTAAGCCATGTGAGTAACCCATAGTTCATGTTCCTAGAATGTTCAAACCAGAAGCTACTGTCTATGTCACTAAAATTAAATGCGAGACATCACCACCAACCAACAGCAACAAGGTTTGTTCGTTCATTCCACACATGTCAGAAGCTCCGTGAAGTCTCGACATGTTGGCATTAGTACTAGGTCGCGCTCACAGTTTTTCGATTTTGCTCAATAGCCAGTCAGCATGCACCAAATTGGCGATAGTCATCTTTTTCGATTGCAGAATACTGCCCCGGCAAGTGTGACACCAGTGAACTGTTGCAGTGAGATGCCATACCTACTTGAGTAACAATTACACTTCTTTTTTTCTAATAACATTTACGAAGACTCAGTGGTACAATCATTACACGGGCAGGATTTCCTGCTGCAAATTTTGTGCCACATAATGACAAAAAACATACGACGTTATATTGCATGTAACTGCTATCGAGAGTATCTTCAGGGTGCAATCATTATGCGAGAGAAAAAAACAATTTCAGGGGACAGCATTCTGGGGTCGGACTATAACGTGAGTAAATAGGGTGGTAGCACTTGCTTTGACTAAATGCCACACTACTACTGATACATTGCACACCTCCACACCTCCAATATTTTCCCTGTTTTTCGTCGATGGCTATCATAGCCATCATTCTGGTGGCTTATTTTGTGCCGATTTATCATTTGCAATTCGCATTGTCTACATTTACTGCTGCTATTATCGCCGGAAAGCAAGCATCAGCATATTTTAACGTGCCATTTCTCCTGGTAATCGAGTAATCACCTATTGTGGCTTTAGCCGCAGAGCCTAAAAATGATCAAGCTAAGGGCAATTCATTCAAAACAGTTCATTTTATAAACAAAATGATCTTTCTACCATTCCGAAGCCTTTAATGTCCACTGGTGTGAATGCTATATGCAAAAGATTGGCATGAAATGCTTTCCAAACATATTCACTGGCAGTTATATTTTTTGCACGGATGTGCTGTTTGACCATTAGCAGTGGTGGTCCAGACAGTTTCTGATTTGGAGCAATTTTCGAAGCAGGAAAACGTCTCATTTGGAGAAGATTTGGAGCAGGAGAAAATGTGTTTTGGGGCAAGTTTGGAGCAGGTAAAATGGAATTTAGGACCACTTGGAGCTAAACATGTCAAAATTTTCAGCGAATATTCGTATTAGTTTGCATACTAGAAATGGTGCTGCAGTGTAAACAAGGAGAGAAGGCCAAGATACAGAGAGCAGCCGTTAATCAAATTCTCAGCACGAAAGAGGGTCGCATTATGGTTTCACTGCACAGCACAAGGTGTGCGCTGAAGTCAAACACTAATGACAAGGCAAGCATGGCACATATCGTTTCTGCAAATGATAGGTGACCTAAGGTCAGTAAAAAGAAAGTCCTAGCCAGAAAAAGAGCAGTCATACAATTAAAGAAAGAAGACGAATAAAAATGCTGCCAATTAGAACATACTGTTCGAAATTGTCTGCATAGTTAGCGTACTGAATATTCGCCACAACTCATGGTGGATGACACTCCATCGTGCTCAATAATTATTAGAGGCTTGAGCACCGAGTGGCATTTTGCTTCATTTTCAATAAAACTGAATTAATTACTCACTTCGGTTTTCTAAACGTTCAGCAAAGGTCTCCTAAATATAATGCGGGTTCAAAGTTAGCTCGTACAAAGCGGGCACTGTCAGTGATCAAACCAAGAACAAAGGGGGGAGAGGAAGGCGCTTTTGAAAGACAGCCTTGATGACGAGTCCACTGGTCGAAAGACTGGCCTAGCAACACAAACTTTTTACCTTAATTTATACTATCGTGGTGTTACTGGCAGGTACAAGCTCTCGTGATAATTACTCAGTTGACATATGGCGTCCCACACACAGCCCAGATAACAGAGAACAACTGATTCGTTAGGACAGAGGAGTGCCATTGGCAAATTGAGGTGCGGGTAATCGTCTCTCTCCCGTCAACTCTCATCCCTTGGATCCACTGTTCACAGGGTATCTGAGATTCGGTCCCAAAAGCCTGTTTTAGGTGTCAGCAAGGGCTGATGACTAATTCCACTACATCAGGTCGATTTCCTAAATTTACAGTTTTGCAATGCAGTTTGGACTTGATGAAGCTACCACGCACTGTGGTTATGAGAGAGCTATTCCTGCGGCAGCACCGCTCAATGCTCATCAATTGGTGAACAAACAGTGGCCGCGCTGAGCATGCTCGCAAGCGTAATTTTCGACAAGCATAAGAGCGAATCAGTTGGCATTGCTTGCAAGTCGAGAACGCGTCATCCTTTTTTGTTGAGTGATGCTAACACCATCCGATTATTTCAATGGCATTTAGGACGCATGGGAGCACTTGTTCATTAGTGACTGACTTGCAGCTCAGTTTCTACGAGAGCTGGTTTGCCACGGCGTTACGCCGGTTTTGCAGTTCAAGACGCTCGATGAGTGCTTGGACGTACATGAGCAGCAGTCGCACCTCATCGTGCCAGATGCGTTTGACGAGGGCATTCATGCTTGATAAGTAGCTCTAGAATATGCATACTGAAGAACATTGCACAATGTAATAAAAAAATGTGAACTTTTTTCTGAAATATCAAATTTTCATTTACAGGCTGAACTTTCAGGTCGAACTTTCATATACAGCACCCAGTGGTGATAACTATTGTCACTTGACCGCAGTGCTACATAACGGTGTGCAGAGTGACTCGTGAATGAAAACGATAACTTTTCTACATGTTATCACAAGTTCCCTACCAAAGAAGAGAGAACAGCATGCTGAACTATCAACAGAGAGGCATGGGGTGGCACAGAGACTTTGGTTAAACTGAATATAATGACTAAAAAGCACATCACCACAATGGAGCGAGGACATCGGCGGCATTAAGGAGAGGCTCTAGCTGTTTTTTGCACCCCCCAAATAGTTTTGGGCCAAAAAAGGCTGATGCCAGTTAAACAGGTGGACAAGTGAACTTAGGTGCAGTTGGCGCACGCTGTACTCTAATGTGCACAGCAAGGCGCAGGGCATGGAATTGTAGCAAAATGGCACAACTGGCGCAGTTTCACCAAGACTGCCATTAGAGATACTTGCTGTTAGAATAGCCGGTTCATACCTTGTATAGGCCATGGAACTATAGTCACTTCACGCAAAATGATGACAAAAGAAAAGGGACAGAAGAGAAGCAATGCGAAACGCTAACTTTTGACTAACCTATTGCAACATGATAGGCCGGCTATAGTAATGCTTCTTCACAAAGTGCCAAACAGTATAACTTCAATCGTGACATCACTGTCACTACAGTTTCCAAAAAATGACTTTCCACTAGCAAGAGGAAAATAGTACTCAAATTGCCCCTCTTGCCTATTTTTTTTTCCTCGTCGTTCTGTGCCAGGTGGCCATAGTCTTATGGTCAATACAAAATTTGAGTGCTACTTTCTTCAATACTGCATTCCAGATGAAATCCAGTTAGCTGCTGAATTCAACATGCCTCCGAACCACACGAAAAATGTTTCAGCCTTCTGCAGGACGCTTTAAACTATAACAAAAGTATTGAGGGCATATTTTTATATTAATAATATCCAGGGATTGGCATGCCACAACCACCATACAGTTGTTAAGGACATTGTAGTGGAGGGCTCAAGAAATTTCAATCATGTGGTTTCTTTAATGTGCACTGACATTACAGTACATGGACATCTAGCATTTCCCCTCCATCTAAATGTGGCCACCGGGATCAAACTCGTGACCTTCGAGTCAAAAGCGGAGCACTGAAACCACTACACCACCACAATGGACTTGGAGCATCTTTTTGTTGCACAACAATGGGTATCACATGACTAGCTTGCACTTCCATCCTCCATAACTGTGTGTTCACTAATCTCTTGTCAAGAGTGCTATGTCTTGCTGATAGCCGTGCGCCGTTCGTGACTGGAACCTAGCAGGGACGTGGAGATAACGCAAGGAAAGCCCACCAGATAGAAGGCACCTGTTGTTGCGAGGCACAAAGGTGCCTTTTTTACAGTGAAAGCTGTCATGAGACCGCAACAACATCCGTTTTTAGTGCCATAGTTAATCGCCGCAGCCGTCGCTGCCATGATCCGTAACCTAACACTCGAAATAAGAAAAAAGTTTTTTAAATAATCAGAAGAGAATGGGATTTGAACATGGGCCCTCTGCATAGACGTCACGTGTTTTGGGACAAAGCCATGCTGGTGTTTTAATCTCCTTTGAAAACAGACCCACCTTGTAGTCTTCATGTTGACAAAGTAATCCTATTAACATGTGTAATAGAGTACTTTAGAAGAGTAACATACCAACCAGACATCAGACAATGTGAATCACATTAAGAGTGAGTCGTTGAATGCTTGTAACTCTTTACAAAAGGCTCAGCGATAATTCTTTGCCGTCATATCAATCACAGCGCAAACAAAGTGCCTTACAGGTGTGTAGTGGGTACCACGCTTCTTCGTGGAATGATGATTAGTGGCATAGGGGACACTTTCATACTTTACAAAAACTATGTTGTTATATGGCGCAGTGGGTGCCATGCAAGTATCCCAAGAGAGTTTACAAAAGGCTCTAGAAGGGTTGCTCTTCCAGCTTTTGCCGCGAGCGTGCTACATATTCCACACAGTCTTGGCAATTTCTGAGGAGAAGTCCGAGTGAATAAGAAAATGTGTTGAGCAAGGCTGACAATAGCATTCAGAGTGATGCCCAGACATTGCACAACTAAAGAGCGTGTAGTTGACAGCTACCTCTTACAAGTACGCATGTTCGCTAAAACCCGATGCAACGACAGTGCTGCCAGTCAAGCAAGGAGGATCGAACGAAACTGACCACAATCCTATCGTACGTACCTCCTCAAGCTCGTTGAAGAACTGCGTCCTAGTCTCCGGATTGTGAAGCAGCGACAGGGCATCTGCACCTCTGGCCACTTTGGCACCCGCATGATGACTCGACTGACCCTCTGAAAAGCAAGAGGCTCTTGCTGCAAATACAAGCGAAAATCTCGACACCGAAAATTCACTGATCCAGAGTGTTCAAGCATGACAAGTGAGTGGAGTCAAATGAGCTTCAAAAGAACTCTGCAGTGGAAGTTCTCGTACAATCTTCCGAGCAGCAAAAAATAACCTCAAAACAATGCCTTTCTGTGCGATGCCTAATAGATAAAGCACTCCTGTTCAGCCAACGTAGACACTATGTTAAATACAAAATAAGAGATCTCTGTTTCTGACAACAGTAGTGTGTCCAATTGAGTAGTCGTACTGTGATCTATACTAAAACCTTCAAGCACCTTCAAGTGCTTAAAGCAACCAGTAAAACAGTCACATGTTGAGCAGTATTTTTGCAGAAAATTTGGCCTTCTTAAACACATCTGGCGTACAAGTGAATCGCAACTTTTTTTTTTTTCTTTAAGGTAACATTCTATCAGGCCCACAACATGATGGCAGAGATTTATATTCACTTTTGGGACGTAATTTCCTCTCCAACTTCTTTTTTAAAGCCTACTTGGTGGAGTCAGCATTTCACTTTGAAGACCAATCGTTGACTTTAAGAAACTCGCTACCTGTACTTTTTTTCGAATTCTCTTTCTTTAAAACTGCTAAAAACTTTTTTTACTTTTTGTTACAAAAACTAAGCCCACTGGACCGACAGATAAGCTTAAATTCCAAACATTTTTGTACATTCCACGCAGGCTTACTCCATAACCTTATCACATTCAATCATTTTCTGTATCTAGTTGTAACATTTGTGTTTTATTGTATAAACACGAGTCATTACATGAAAAAAATAAAAAGGTCCCACAGTTTGAAACTGCCACGATCTCTCTTATTATTAGCTGCATAATAATAATATATAACCAAAAAGACATCGATGAAGACGAGAAAAATACACAAAAATTTATCCAAAAACGCAGGCAAGAAGGGGAAGATGAAAGCTTGCGATGAGAAATTTGTAAACGGGAGTGCCGGAGCCGACGTTTCCACAAGCGGACTTGTCTTTTTCAATTCATTGATATGTGGGGTTTAACATCCCAAAACTACCATATGATTATGAGAGGTGCCGTAGTGGAGGGCTCCGGAAATTTCGATCACCTGGGGTTCTTTAATGTGCACCCAAATCTGAGCACACGGGCCTACAACATTTCCGCCTCCATCGGAAATGCAGCCGCCGCAGCTGGGAGTCGATCCCGCGACCTGCGGGTCAGCAGTCGAGTACCTTAGCCACTAGACCAACACGGCGGGGTTGTCTTTGTCAATTGCAGCCTTGAAAAAGGCAAGTCCGCGTGTCGAAGCATCGCCTCTAGCATCCACCCCCCCCCCTGATTAGGAATTTCTCAATGAAAAAGCTATGCAATCCTCTCAACATCAAAGCAATCGCCTCTAGCATCCACCCCCCTGATTAGGAATTGCTCAATGAAAAAGCTATGCAATCCTCTCAGCATCAAAGCAATATATAATAGTGCAACGAGATACATAGTGCTAAAACAATACACTGAGAGGCAGTTCATTAGTAATAGCATAAGCACTTAATGAGCGCTGATATGATGACAATGAGGGGAAAGGATTCTACACGAACCGCTAAGTTGTTACACATTTTCACAGTGCCAAAACCAACAGTTAGCTTTCTAAATTTAGAATGTGGTTTTAGAAATTAATGATTATCATAAAAAATTTAACTTGGAAGTGTTACAATTAGAACGACTATTTCAATTGATGTCAAAAAGTTATTGTGGGTTTTAAACTATCAGACAAAATAACTGTGCTGTAGTTGTATCAGATGAGACTATTTATTGTGAAGAGATTCAACTTTGTGTTTCTATAGAAAAATACGCATGATAATTTCTCTGCATTGCACATTCTCTTAAGCCCAGCTTGCCCCTGCGTGTAACGCACACCCCTGACTACAAACTACAGAAAAATAAAAATTTAAAATTATTCTTGGGTATTGCTATGAAGCCGAAATTCACTTGAATTATATGAAAGAAAATATGGTATGCAAGTAACATTTTGTCAATACTAATAGTAGTCTATCTCTACATTAAAATGCGACAATGGGGTTCTCACATAGTTTTCAATAACATTAAATATTGACCGCACTGTCACATGGCAGCCTTTTCCAAACAATGATATTGCAGGAATTCAATGTGTTACTCCAGAACAGGACAGGTGCATTGCTTCCCAACATGCTGAGCTGCCACGTGCTTCTCTTGATTGCACTTATATTCTGTGGGTGTGAGAGAGAAGCCAGAAGACTGTCAACATGAATCATACGCTTTGTAAGCCAGAACAAGAAAGTCCCATAAAACCACAATGTTTGACCCCAATTTTAACACTGCCATATTAGTAAGCATCTTTATGTGGCAGGAGTCTGTCCAGGTTTTATTGAAAGGAACGTATCTAATAATAGGATGTTTGCATCCGAGAATTCACTGTACGACACCACTACTAGAGCGTTATTATCTAAGCTAAGAAGAGAAAACCCTTTTGCATCAGCATCTCAATCAATGGAGAAGCATAACCTCAGCTGAGAAGGGAAAATCAGACGCACCAAGGATCTTCTCAGCAGTGCCATCTCCCGCAGTGCCGTCTGCTTCGACACTAATGTCCCAAGAGATGGCATCCCCTCCAACTACTTCGATTGCCTCTTCGCCCTCGCCAAAGCCTACCTACGCAAATGAACAGTAAGCAAAGTTGGTCGAGTGATAATTCATTCATGGTAATGGATACGGCACACAAAAGTACATACAATAGAATCACAGAAATGTGCAATTTTGGACGTGTTAAAAAGACAGTGATGCAGCTTTCAGCAAATCAATGACAAGTGCATGGAGAAACATGTAATTTTGTGAGCTCAAATCTACATCAGAGAAACAGATTAGCACTTGCACTGTTTACTCTTTTGATACCCTCGTATTCTTAGTGCTGTATATCCCATCTTGCATTGACATGATACATACGTTCACTGCTACAGATAGAGTGCACTGAATAAATTTTCTCTTCAGTGCATTGTTATGAGTACACTGAAGAAAAAATGGCGGCCAACTGTTCTGCAAGGCAGTTTTCTATGCTTCCATCTGAACAAAAAATGCATCAACAGTAACTGAAGATTTTAATACAGAGGAAACTTGTTAATTCCCTTTACAAGGGCCTTTTTCCATGAAGCTGTCTTAGCATTTGAGAAGGGACCCAGTTAATTTTTTTTTTTAATTTGGAGGTTGCCGATTATAGAAGAGTCGCACAGGAAAACGTACATATCTCCTCTTTCATGATGGCTGTAGAAAAAGTGGTATTTGTACATGAAAGAATCAAAAATACTGAGCTATTACCTGCAGCGTGTAAGCAATCGCAGCTCACAATGAATGGAGGAGAAAGTAAAAGAAGAAAAAAAAAAGGAGACTGTGAAGAGCGGCTGCTAGGGACATGTGTCGACTGAATTGTGAAGGCTGTGTTTATTCATGACAGCTGCCAAAGAGCTCTCTCAATGGTGAAAACAGCCGAAGAAAGAAGACGAATGGCTTCCTCGTCCCTTAATATCATATCTGTCGTTTTTTTACCGTCACAAATCGCTAGCTTGCCCAGCAGGCTTCACTACAGGACTTCTCCCAGTCTGAGATGGCAAAATCACTCCTAAAAAGAAATCAAACTACATGGCTAATCCCTTATCTAGATTTTTTATTGAACTAATAAGCTAGAAATACAACTGGCAGAAAGCAATGACATTGCATAACTAACTTTCAAAAACTACCAAAGTTACTTTGAAAAGTTATCACAAGCGAAGTTACTCAAGGCTTCAAGCTGAAATGCTACACGGCTCCTCTCTGGGCTTACCTCAATCCCCTGCATGAGGTTACGTGCTCAGAGCCCTCTTTTTAAAATGCAAATGCATTTCTTAGTTGAGCTATGCCAGGCATCTGTCGGAATTGGTTTACCGCCCTCTCCCCTAGCAACAGCTGCAGGCGCGCGCGTCCCTAGCAACCGGAGCCCCCATCTCCTTGACTTGAATGTGACCTGCCACCGCCTCAATGCAGTGCGTTTGAAATGTGTTTGTGCTGCGAGTGCTTGTGTAGCGTGCGCCTCCGCCGAGTCTGACATGTGTCTGACTACCATTCACGGAAGTCGCATTGATCTTGCGTTTACCCAAAACTGGGACGTGTGCATGCTTCTCGAAGACCCTTTGACTGTACACTTTATAGTCACCACAATGCTGAGATTAAGGCTGTCAGGTACCATGACAACGCAAACAGGTGCTGATGCATGTGTAAATAAGGTATCGTACAAATCCTTGTCTCATCATTAATTTATGGCATTAAAATTACTACGCGATGTACTACTCTGGGCACAAGAAATGCATTCGCATTTCTTCACGATTCCCTTCAGAGAGGTGAGGACATTTTTTTATTTGTTTCAGTCAATTGGTTTTGTTGTAAGAAAAACAAGTTTGCTATACTTTAGTGCAAAGTTATTTGTGAAGTAATGAGTGATCTCTTTCAAATTACTGACTCAATATAATTAGTTACATTACTAAATCATCAGCTGACAAGAGTAATTATTTACCTTTTTCAATACACTGACAAGTACATCAATTACTACAATTTCATTACTGGCAACTTTGCTTCTTTCCACAATTGAGTGCATCGTAGCAAGAGGATTGGGGAAGGTGCAAAAGGAGCTTACAAGAAATGTGCTGAGGAGCAGCATGTGGCGTGTCGCCTAGTCATGCATGTGTGCTTCATAGAGCAATGATGGTAGAATCTAAGTAAACTGGCAGCTGGCACTTCTTAGGTAATGTGTTGTAGGAGTACTGACAGAAAATGTTTAAGGCGAAATAACTTGCTATGCAAGGGGCCTCAGAGAGATCAGGGCCCCCTTTGACCCCTGCAATTATTTATCCCACTGTATGCCTCGCAATAACACATGCTTGGAACGTAAAACCACAGAACATATTATTTTAAAATCTTATATGCCTACTTTATTTTAACAGAGAACGTTATCATCCACCTGTTTGTAACAAGCTACACAGAAATGTGTTGGTTGCAGGTTTTACCACATTTACTCGCGTAATGAAACAACCCCCTATCACCTTGGTCCTTAAAATAAATCGACTTTTTAATGCATTTGTTCATTATATTTTGGTGAAACAGCCAGTGCAATTAATAATCGAAACAATGTTAAATCCCGCCATTTTATCACAAAATAGCGGCACAATAAAAGTCAAAACATAGTTCAACAACCATGCTAAACAATTGCGAGCAGCACGAGCGCGGATGACATCAATCAAAATTTAAAAGTCTCGCCTTTTGCAGCAGAGTGCCATCTGACGAACGCAGAAGGAACACTTTTGCTTATGGCGCCCCGCAAGCACACCAACATGAAAACAAAGCGAAAAACAAAGGGCAACCACGCCGACGACGCGATGTGCACCCGCTACATGCGCGCTTCACCATCTAATAGGGCATTTTGGTTGTCAGGTTTGTCGTACTGACCTTCGTTGGACCCCTGGTATACAGGGCATGATTGGCCGATAGGCTAGCTACACAGCCGGTTTTAAACTTAAAGTTGGTCAAGATTGAGCTGGAGCATGAGAACCGAGCAGCTGGACAGCACTTCGGCATCGATCCGTGCGCATTCATTACGGGAGAAAACAAGAGTTTCAGGCTACAAAAAAGCTTCGTCTCGCATTTCGCAGGTCAAAACAAGGACAGTTTACTTCTGCAGGGAGTGAAGTCCTTGAATATAAGCTGCGTAGTCCTATCACTGAATTGAAGGCCAGCAGCCATTGGACAGCAAGTTTTTTAGTACCCTAATGCGAACTTTCAGCTGCTTTATTATTCCTGACATTTTTCTTCCGCGTAATGAGCCCTCCCCCAAGATTGGCGTCAACTTTTCTGAAAAAATGGTGGGTTCATTATTCCAGTATATATGGTATTTCCTCACCTGGATAAATTTATAGTCAACAGAAAGATTTCTGCGAAATCGACATGAATTTCTTTTAAACGTCTGTGCTACAAATGGTTGAAAACTGATTGGCTGTATTGCTACGCCATATTGAAATAATGATTATCAATATTCACAAGAGAGCTCCTCACAGCTTCATCCCACGTAACAACCTTCTGTACGCTGAACTACCCCCATACCTGCACACGCTCCATGAACAGCCCATCCGCAAAGCCCACCTTCATAATTGTAATCAAGTATATGTAAGGCTGAGCAAGATGTGTGTTTGCTAATGGGCACAAGATGAAAAAATATGAGGACAGCAGAAACATAAACTTGTATGACTTGTGTTTTCCTTCACAATATTAACGTCCTATTCCCCACCCTGAACTCTTACTGGTATCACTTGATAAGTAAAAAATGTTAGCCACTAAAAAACACACGAAGGTCAAGATTCAGGACGTACATGCACGAAATCTCCATTTGGGGACGTGGCAGTGGAGTCTGTGGCAGCAGTCCCAAGATCGAGGTCACCAAAATCGATCTGTTGGGATAAGAGTACTGTAAGCACACATGACAGAACCATGGAAACAGGAAACCTAGTAAATGAAAAGAATTACATCGCAATGAGAACCCTTAAAAGCATACGACAACATGTAAAATAAAAGTGGCTCCTGTGGTGCAGCCAACTGGTAGTGGATACCATGTACAATCAGGTATAAGCCACACACAAAATAAAATATAGACAAAATGTAGAAAACTTGAAGCTAAAGCTGGAGTGCAAGCGATAGGCAAATAGTATTTGTTTGCAAGGTGGCTACAGGGCACTGCTTCACAGCCTTAAAATAGACTAACAGCAATGGTTTCACAGTCACAGTTCGAGTGGAAATTTTCATCAAGATGTAAAACTAATTTTCACATCTGAAATGCACATCAAATGTGGTGGCATATTTTCATAATTTTTTTCTCTCAGAAAGTAGCTGATAGATGTGACTTATGCACAAGAAAATATGGTTTGAGTGACTCGTGTGTACACATTACAGCCACTCTGGCAAAAGCTGAGCATATGCCCCGCCACTGTGGTCTAGTGGCTAAGGCACTCGGCTGCTACTCGCAGGTTGCGAGATCGAATCCCAGCTGCACCGGCTGCATTTTCGATGGAGGTGAAAACGCTGTAGGCCCGTGTGCTCAGGTTTGGGTGCACGTTAAAGAACCCCAGGTGGTCGAAATTTCTGAAGCCCTCCACTACGGCGTCTCTCATAATCATATGGTGGTTCTGGGACGTTAAACCCTAACAATTATAAAAGCTGAGGTTATTCCACACTCAACCGTACAGAAAAAGAGAGACTCCTTATTTGTCTTTCACAGAACAAGTAATCGTAGAAGCCAAAGTAATTATAAAAACCGATGTCAGCACTTTCAACAGCACTGCCATTTCATCACTGTTGACCACCACATTCCAATGACTTGGCGCTATCGATGGCATAACTTATCCTCAAATCAAAAGCTGCCCTGTAGGTGTGTCGTTCAATATCTGCGGTAACTTACAGGTCACCACATTCTAAAGTAATACAGGTTTCTCCTTAACTGCGGTCGACAGCTACCAAACCATGAAAAGGTCAGAGGCAATGCTTTTTGGCAGCAGTAGTACTGTTATCTTTTTTTTTTTACACAGTGTACACAGTGGTATTCAACTACAGGCAAAGACTGCACAGCAATGAAATTCCTGCTGTGTCCATGTCCTTCATGTCTCTTTATATATTTGGTATATACGAAATGTGCAAACAAATGCTATGAACTGGACATTGAAAAGTTATTTCACCAACAGAACTCGACCAGATGGCATTTCTATCAATTTTGATAGAGGTTTACTTCTGTTATTTTTTTAAATTAGAACCACTAAATTTGGACATTCATAAATCAACGAGAACCAAAAGTCAGAGTATAACAAAAAAAAGGTCCCTAAGCAAGTGACAGTGGAGCTAGAAAATTAACCATGAACAATAAAAAAAAAAACAAGAAAAACAAGGCAAATGACAACAAGCTTCGTCATCACAATTGAGGCTCAAGGTATCTAATTTCCTTGCCAAAAAGTGCTCCTAATGGCGTGCTGAAACAAGCTATTCCCTTTTCGTGAATTATGCACACCTCACAAATATCACGTGCCCATTGATCCCAACGTGCGGGTGAGAACTTGCACATAGTCAAGCAATGCTCCCTTTGCCAAACCATTGTTCGTTCTGTGCCAATTGTTGAAGAACAACACATTTATCTATCTGTTAAGTAAGTCACAGAGTAAATGAACATTTCAGGTATGCCTGTGGTTGAATGTACATAGTAATAACAGCATTTAATTAAAAGTAAAAGCACAAGTTGAACAGCTTATAGTATACTATTAGCATTCATGTGAATTCATTTTTAAAGTGTGTGCCCAAATGCTATTATTCGAAAATTGCAATATGTGCCACATAGCAGTTTCTAAGAACATAATCAGTTGAACAATGTTGATTAAAGAGGAATTACTAAAAACATATTTAGTGGAATGATATTTATTAAACTGTTATTTGTAAGGACATAAGTAGTGGAATGTTGTTAATTAATCAGTTATGCCATTCAATTCAGTGCATTAGTACTGTCTGCTTCTGTGACATAGGACAGTAAACCCACTCATGAGACAAATCCCTCACACTTGCTCAAACTTGTACCCATCCACGAGTACGAGTTCGTGAGCCCAGCTGAGAAACATTCTAGCGAGTTCAAGTCTCAGTGTGGTGAGGCGAGTGTCATGTTGGCAATTATGAGTACGTGCCAGTCTTGCCAAATATAATTCTTGTCAGTAAGTGTCCAAGTGTGTATGCTTCAGCCGTACTCCATTGAGTCTGAGAGAAATTGAGAGAATATAGTTCTTCTAAGCCAAGCGAGCCCTTCACGGAAAGATATTCTGTGAGTAGATGCTTGCGAGTTTTGTTTCCTTTTTTTTTGCCAACCAGCAGCAAAAGTGCAGCTGAGGGTCATCAGTAGCAAACTGTTCATGAGCTCTTTCTTTCCACAAAGACATCTGTGGCTCTTGCAGAGAAAACTTGTTTCTTACTGCCTCAGTTATGTCTGGGGTGCATAAATTGGTAAACTCTCTTTCGAATGGACTCACTCAGGCAGGCTTGTGAGTCTTGAGTGAACTTGACTGAGGAAAATTTTGGTGAATTTGAGTCAGTGTTAGCCTCGCTGAGCTGAATATTGAGACCAGTTGAGCAGAGCTTCCGTAAAATAAACAAGACTGGCCAAGTAGACCTTAGGCGAGTACAACATGAGTGAGCCAAAAGCAAATTAATATTTTTTTCTTTTAGTAAGTCTCCATGCAATTCAGTTGTTTGTCCAACCTAAAGTCACAATAGTTTTTTGTTTTACTATACAGTAGACTGTCAGTAAACTGAAATCTGCTAAACAGAACTACTGCCTCTGTAATGCTTGGTTTCGGGCTTGTATATTCTGCACCCATGTTCATCTCTCAGTACATAAACCGAACTCCTGTTAAATGGAAAATGTTTTCCGGCTCACTTCAGGTTCCGTTTACTGAGAGTCTACTGCAAAAAAAAAAAGAAACGAACAAGCAGCTTATCAGCTCAGGTTCCGTTTACTGAGAGTCTACTGCAAAAAAAAAAAAGAAACGAACAAGCAGCTTATCAGCTATCGAGCAAACACATTAAATCTTTCTGAACAAAAAGCAGCCAGAGAAAAGTCACCTGATCATCGCTGTTGCCATTATCGATGTCCACTGGTAACACGGGCAGCGTTTCCTCAACCACCTCCGGCGGCTCCCCATGCCGCCACTGATACGTTGTAACATTGCCATGAGTGATAAGGAATTGCATCAGCGGCACTGCCTTGCTGCTGCCTTCTGCTTTGCTGCGTATAATAAACAAAACTAGTATTCTGCATCGAGAACATTCAAAACACCTTGTCCGCTTTTTTTTTTCTAGTAAGGGAGAGTTCATTAGTGCAGGAAAAGGACTAAAAAAAAATTGGCAAAGCTTGCACTGAGCACTAAGCCATGCAAGTCTTGAAGCAACAGAACTGGACGATTCTGAAGACTAATCTGATTGCTCTTAGGTTGCTTGTAGGCCTCAGCCAGGTGATGAGGCTTGTTTCTAAGTTGCCTCCAGATCACTGCTAGGCTTTAGCCAAGTATTGCGATGTTATAGCTAATTACACGTCCTATTTAGGTTCACTAGCCACGCAAATGGTTTTGATTGAGGGTAACCCCTAATATGAATGAGAAAAACATCCATTATGTGTCTTCATCTTCAGTCACTAGCATTTCTTGTCGTCACTCGTCTTTAGAGGTATGTATCGACTTGTGCGGCATTAGCAAGTGACCATAGTTCTGGCGAATCAATCATTTCACAGCCAATACGACAGTTACTCATGACTGTCCCTGTTGTCGTAACTAGGACCAAGAGAAGCTTTTCAGTGGACTGGTAGTGACTTGTGGGATCTGCTCAATTTCTATGGCTCATACCCATTTATGATGGGTGGACCTATGGTGAGCCAGTGAGTTGTGATATGGCAAACATATTGTGGCAACTTGATTGTTTCTTTACCACGAGACAATGGTGACTTCCCATATGTATCTGAAAGAAAGCTTTTGCCAGCTTGAAAAGTATTTCAGCACATACTGCAGCACACCAAATCATGCGTTTCCAAAAATACAAGTTGCAGAGCAACAAAAACATTCTGGAATGAATAAAAATTGGAAAAGTGTGCAATTCTTTGTTTCCAGCTAATGAACAGCACAATAAAAATAATACAAAAAGTTCTAAATGTTCTACGCTTTCTTCTTATTCACATAGACAATCTGTACCAAGGTACTGCTTCATTGCTCGTGGTGAAACATTTCATAGTTTTCGTGAACCACAGGTGCACTCGCCCACTTTTCACATGGAATTTTTGTCTTTTGTAGGAAAAGAGCCTCAACAAGGCGGGGGACCTGGGTTCGAATCCCACTGTGTCCTTGGTGTTTTTTTATTTACTAAGTATTTTTCTTACTACGTATGATTGTAGCTATGGACACCAGTGGCACCAAAAATTACTCTTGTTGTGATCTCATAACAGCTTTCACAATAAAAACAAAGAATGAATTTGCTTGCAGTCCTAAAAGCTCTTGTCCCTCCCCTTAGTCTGGGGCTACAATGTTCTCTGGCAGCCTTCCTGACATAAGAAGCTCTTCAGCACACACCAGCCCATCACACCCCACTGACTCGTCAACCTCGCATGTACCCAGAGTAGCTCCAAGATTGTGCACAAAGGTCAGCAGCTACGCACATGCAGCAGAGGAGGTAACTAGAGTCATGACAGTGACTACTAGGCCGTGAACGAAACCAACCCCTCAACGGCTGCACATGTCATAGGCTGATGCAAAACATTGCAACTGGAGATTGAAGCTGAGGTGCTGTTACCTTCACACTCAATGCTCGTCGTCACTCAGTTGAAGTGCAGTTGCAAGACATTTTCGAGCGGTGTGCGTTTTTCTTAACACAGTCGACCCATGCGCACGTCACGACGATGTCAGAGGAACAATTAGCGACACTAAATGCGGCCTTGTGTCTGATATAGCAACACAAACGAAATTGAAGTGGCTGGAAACTGGCTGAAATGGCCCCTTCCACAAGTTATACATGTGGCACACTTTCACAAATAACTTTTTGTAAAATAAAAGTTATTTCACTCCAAACAGTTCTCTACTAATTAGCAGGTATATATTTCAGGCAATTATTACTGCTCAGCTTTGTCAGATTGCAAAGCTGAGGCCATAATTTACTATTTGACTAACAAAGGTTCTTTTGATTATGTAACTTTGGTGTTACTGTAGCATAACCCTGAGGGACACACACTTCTGTCAAACCAAGTGCATTTTCCCAATAACACATGCACCGTGGTTTGCGCAAATGTCCGTCAAAAATCACCATGTTGCCAAAACGGCCTAATTCAAACTGATCCTGAAAGTTGACCGCCTGAACTAACTAGGAAGTGCTAGATGCATGAGCAAGTAAACCAACATGCGAAAATGAACGATTCTAAGCGGCAATCACTGGTGATTTATTTAAATATACATAGTAATGAAAGAGTTGAACAGAAAAGCTTTTAAAAATGCTGTTTCCTTACTAACCTCAATACTACACTAATTAAGTACTCGGGTTCGCTGAGGTATCTGCCAGTTAAAACTGTTTTCAGTTTATCAAATAACTACTTTACAGGCTGTACTCCCATTTTGATGCATAAATTTCAATTCCCAATGACAAAACAATGTGGCACATACGATATACTTGGCATTACAGGGTAAACTTGATTGGGCTGCATATTGCTGCAGTGGATTACATCGCTTAAGAGATCCCCCCCATTCAATAAATCGTACACTGCGTTGTGTTCCGGCAACCACGCCACAAGTATAATTTTTGTTTTATTCGATTCAGTATAACCAATGACAAGCCACCCATCTATTTTGAGCCTGATAATCGTTAATTTTTATAATAAACAGACAAAACAACTAACTACATAAAGGATCTATTTTTATTCTATGCCAATTATGATTACCTCGAGGTGCATAAATTAGCATAGTGTTACCATTTTTTCTTTCCTGCATTAAAATATCAGATGCTTCGGAAAATAGTTGTGTAAATGGGAGCTTGTGTAATGTTTTTCCCAGGACTGAGGCCACAGTGCCAGCAACACCACTCACCTTGATGGCACTGTGAAGCCCAGGAACAGCCTGTACAGGTCAATGGCCGGCTGAGCCTTGTGCAGTTCCTTGACGGCGCTTTCGAAGAGGCCAGGCAACTCGTCCAGAAGAGAGAGAAGCTCCTTTTTGATGCACTCGCCCTGCGAACAGTACTCATCCATGACACATGACAAAAAAGACAAGTGTTCCAGCTGGTTGCAGTATATAATGACGTACTTTAAATATATGTTTTTTCTTAGAGCCATTATCACCATATCAATTTATAAAATCATATATGTACGTCTGCAGAAACATACTGGAGATCACGTTTTTTCTTTACTATCACTATTATTTAACTATGCATGGACTCAATATATACACCACTGTTCTATATTTGTCGCAAAGAAGTACTTTTGTTGAAACACAGACACCATTACTTAAGGTTCTATTCTTAACATAACATAACCTTTGAGGTTTTACATACCAAAACTGTCATGTGATTGTGAGACATACTGTAGTGGAGGGCTCTAGCAATTCGGACAACATCCGGCTCTTTAACATACCACTATGTCCAAGTACAGCAGTCCCGAATTAAAACAGCATGCTTTAGGAGTAACACCTTCATTTCCACCAGCTTCAGCTTGGGTCGTATAGGCGTAATTCCGACTCAAAAGCCCAGATGAGAGCCAACATTGTCTGTAGAGACCAGATTGGTTGCTACACGATGTGATTAGCTCAAGCAATTGTGCATACCAGTTGTTATACCAAAAAACTTTGATGTCATGTTTGAATCTGTGAGTACTGTACGTGGGCCTTCAGCAATTCACTTCCACAGAAATGCAGCCACAATCACTACCATCCTTATGGTCAGCAGCCAACCACTGTAACATACCACAGTGGCAGCTAATGTGTATTGTTGTAGCGTATAGTGTTTTGCTACACTACAGTTCTTGCTAGGACAAGTACAATGTCAGAATGGTAAGACAGATGTGGAAGTTATCAAGCCAGCACGCAAGCAAGCACAGAAATGTATTCGAACAAGGGGTCGACATCACTGGAGTAAAATGCCCGTTAGCAAATGTGCCCTGAAAGGCAACCCCTAAATGAATTCCCCTTCTTTAAGGCACAAATGCGGTTAGAATAAGGAGCAGAATTTCGTAATTTTTACCTTTATGCCCAACTGCTTGCATTCTTGTTGGTACCTGTCCCTCAGGTCTTGGGCATGCTTGGCATAATCGGCCTCTTTCTTGACTGCTTCCTGGTTAAAAACGACACCCCGCACAAGTAAACACATACTGCTCACAAACTTCTAGGCACTTAACATTGTTCAACCAGTCAATCTTTTCACTGATTACCTCTTGGATTTGCTGACATTTTGCAATCTGACGCTTCAATGCTGGTACTTCATAGTTGACAGTGCGTATGATCATCTGAGCAGCCTCCGCTAATCAAAGAATAAACACAAAGTCAGCTCTTGTTAACTTGTAGTTTGCAGCAAAAGCTTACAGAGTGATGATTAGATATGATGGCTCTTACCAAGGTAAACACTGTCTTTTTCGTAGAGGCGAATAATCTCCTGCCAGTCCTTCATCCGCTGTGACGAGTATCGGCCAAACAGGTTCTTCGTGCTGGCCTCTGTGTCCTTCAAGATTTCCACTATCCTCTGGCAGTGGAAGTAGTGGATGTCTGCACATCAAAGATAATGCATCAATATTTAACATGACGTCACAGTGTGGCGTCATTTTCTTCCGCTGCGGATGCGAATAAGTTCGAACGATAAGCTTACACGTTCCCGCGAGCAGATTAGTGATTTCCTCCACCTCCGGCATGTCCTGGATGGCACCATTGATCTTCTCGCGCACAACCAATGCTTTCGCTTGCCAATCCTTGTTACAGTGTCGTCTGCTTATCAGCCAATCTGCATAATAAATACATAAAAAGTGAGAACAGTATGACAGCTGCAGGCATATTTCTGCACGTCGGGGGCTGTACAAGAATGACATTGAGATATCGCACTCAGTAGGTGCCCCTGCGTTGAAGGTGCGAGCGCACTGCGCCCAAACTAAAGTTTCTACTAAGTAAGAAAATGTCTTCTAGGACAGCTAAATCATTTGCGCGCACGTAGAACAGAAGATGGTCGACATTGCTGCTTACGGCGCGCACACTTGGCGGTGTCTCATTAGCTAATCCGGTAAACGAAAACAAACAACTTGAACGGTCGCAACTTACCCAGCAACTTGTTGGTTTGGATATCAATCGGCAGCAAGACCTCGTCCTGCGGGGAAGAACAAATAGTGGGCGTCAACAGAGACGAAGCAACAAACAACGCTAACGACGAAAATTCGCCGATTTCAGCAGGAGCGAGTTATTGTGCACGAAAGGAAATTCGAAAATGATGAGTATGCGATTCTGAAGCATGATAGGACGCAAGCTAGCAGACTACAAAATATCGAGTGGCATTGCTCTCCTTAAACAGGACACAACTGCGGAACAATTACTTCGGAAACAAAATCAGTAACGCAAATTAGAGATTTAGAAACAGTACCTGCATGGTTGTGCGATTGTTTGACGTGGATAATCTGTAGCATATGACACGATTTCACTTTCGCACGTCAACGAACACGCAAACACATCGGCCGTGAGTCTGTAGTCAACTAGGCTTGCTGAAAGCTTAAAAAAACTAAAGGGGCGCTGCAAAGCTGTCACAAATAAAGTGAAGCTGCTTTATTATTTGTAAAAACAATATGACTAGAATTTTTACTGTTTTTTATAATTTTTTGTTTAAATATTTTATAAAATAATATAACAATGTTTAAACACAGGCTTTTACCAACTTCAATTTCAATGTTATGGGTAACTCTGCTTGTATGTTTCACTGGAGAAATCTAAGCAGAAACGTTGATAGGCCACTCTAACGTAGATTCCTGGGAGGCCTTATTACGGAGCAACGAAGCCGACGAGCTGCGTAAAGTTATCGGTCTTGCACTGAACGGGGGTAGAGCGTAATCTAACGGCGGCATTGACGGGGGTCAAAGCCTCCTCCCCCGTCATCCTCCGTGGGTGCAAATAAATCTTATGTCTCTCTCTCTCCCATAAGTGGTGATCCTCGAATTATCAAAGGCCGCGGAAGACAGCAAGCAAATGGTACATACTTACTAGGACGAAGGTATCGTGCCTTATTAGATGAAAACAGGAGATGCATAAAACCCGTACAGTCGGCGCTCGTCCGTGTCTTATGTGTCTCCTGTCTTCGTTTAAGTCATGCTACATGCATTTGTCCGATTGCAGGTGTTAGATGCACGTAAAACTGAAAACTAAACCATGGACAGTAGCCCCCCCCCCCCTCTATTTCCAATAACGTGGCGGCGAGGCCACTAAACGCGTTTCCGTTTTCTCTGCAGGAAAAAATATTCGCTCCGTCGGGACAATCCTGAAACCAATACATAGCGTTCATGTGATGCGGATGGATGGATGGATTGAATGGATTGATATGGCTGTACCCTTTAGATCGGGTGGTGGCTCACGCCACCAAGCCGTAATACTTAGTGAACCAAAAACTGGATTTTTTTTTTCCTTTAAATAGTGAGGTTGTGGACTCGTACTTTGCAGGGAAGGTTTAATTTTCACTCGTGCCTTGACTTTAGCCACCAATCAGATAACCTCCTTCTTGTTAATTTCACCCGCTTAAAGTCTATTTTGCCCTCCCTGTCTCTAAACCCCAGTGTTTTGAAAAACTCTGCATCATCATCCTGAACTATAGGGTGAAGCCCTTTACAGAACATTATCAAGTGTTCAGCAGTTTCCTCCTCCTCTCCACATGCACTGCATACCGTGTCTACCCCTTCGTATTTGGCCCGATGTGTCTTGGTTCGCAATACTCCCGTCCTGGCCTCAAATAGTAGAGAACTACCCCGAGTATTATCGTAGATCCTTTCCTTGGCGATTTCCTGCTTAAAAGTTCGATAGATCTCTAGTGCGGACTTCTTAATCATGCCCATTTTCCACATGTCAGTCTCCGTTTCCTTCACTTTCTTCTTAACCGATAGTTCTTTTTGGTTTGGCCACCTGCTGTTTTCTAAGTATTTACCAGTCAACTTCCTGGTTCGCTTCCTCCATTTTGTATCGACATTCTTCATGTACAAGTAGCTGAAAACCTTCCTAGCCCAACGCTCCTCCTTTATTTCTCTCAATCGCTTCTAAAATTTCATCTTGCTGCTAGCTTCCCTGCCCTCAAATGATGTCCATCCCATATCACCTTGTACTCCCTGATTTGGTGTATTCCCGTGAGCTCCTAAAGCAAGCCTACCTATTCCACGTCTCTTAATTTCTAATTTTGCTTGAACTTCTGATCTCATGCACAAGATCGCATTGCCGAACGTCAGCCAGGAACCATGACCCCTTTCCATATTCCTCTCACAACATCATACCTATTGTAATTCCACAGTGCCCTATTTTTCATCACTGCTGCATTCCTGTTACCTTTAGTCGTCATGTAAATTTCATGTTCCCTTAGGTACTCGGTCCCATTGCTTATCCATACGCCCAGATATTTGTATTTACCTGTTATCTCTAGCGTGACTTCCTGTATCCTAAGCTCACAACCTTTATTATCATTAAAAATCATGACTGATGATTTTTCCTTACTGAATCTGAAATCTAACCTATCTCCCTCATTACCGCAGATGTCCGCCAATCTCTGCAAATCTTCCTTATTGTCGGCCATTAGCACTATACCATCTGCGTACATTAATTCTGGTAGTGCCTGATCAATGAGTTTTCCTTGTTTGACGAAAGAGAGGTTGAAGCCAAGTCCACTTCCCTCTAATTTGGCCTCTAAACCTTGTAGGTACGTCATGAATAATAAGGGTGACAAAGGACAGCCCTGCCTAAGCCCCCGTTTTACCTCTGAAGGCTTGGATACTGGTTTTTCCACTTTATAACGGCCTTCTTACCTTTATCGATATCCTTTGAAAGATCAGTGACTCCATCTTCCACACCTAGTGTGTCCAGTATTCCCCACAAGTCCTCTTGAACCACGCTATCGTACGCTTCCTTGATATCCAAAAGTGCTACCCACAGGGGCCTGAGTTCCTTTTCTGCTATTTCGATGCACTGCGTCAATGAGAACAGATTGTCTTCCAACCTCCTGCGTTTCCGAAACCCATTCTGCAGTTACCCCAGCACCCCCTCATCCTCTATTCATGCCTTCAGTCTTTCCCTTATAACCTGCATCGCCAGCCTGTACACCACTGCATGTCACTGTTATAGGACGGTAGTTGTTTATGTCAGCTTTGTCACCCTTGAATTCCTTTATAGATCATGCTCATCCTGCTAAGTTTCCATCCATCGGGGACTTCACCATCGATTATTGTTCTGCTCACTGCCTCTCTCAAAGTCGGTTTAGACTTCGGACCCAATGTCTTTATCAGCATAATTGGAATGCCATATGGGCCTGTTGATGTACTACTTGGAACCCTCTTTTCAGCCCTTTCCCACTCTCGTTGGGAAATTGGAGCCATTGCGCCACTTGATCCATCCTTGTATATTGTGGTGCATAAAGCACCTCTTTGTTGATTTTTTTTGTCCCTTCCGCCGTTATCGCGATCTCGCGCCATGGCCGGGTACCTCGCTGGGTGCCTACAGCAGTTTGCGTGCTGCAGCGCAGTTTGTTGAGGGCTCGTCATCTATTGCTGTGCGCGATGTTTAAAGAAAAGCCGTGCGGTTTTTCGTTGTCAAGCTTTAACGAGCTCATCGGGTCCGGAAGGCCTCGCTTGTTCACTCGATACAAGACCGGAAAATCAAAACGTGTGACGTATACCAGCCACCACGTACGCCGGCTGCCCGCCACGATCTCCGAGGGCACATTATCTCGATTTCGCTACAAATTGCGTGGCCCAAGAACAAGTGAAAGCTCAAAGTTTCTCGAGCCGCAGTTTTAAAACTGGATGAGCGAAGTGCCTAACTGCCATCGAAAACAAGTCATCGTGCAGAGCTAGGCAAGTTTACAGGAGATATATTATAATAATAATTGTAATGTATTGCTGCAGCCCACACCACCAAAGTAGCAGTGTGGTTACCCGAGTCTTTTAAACAGTGATAATGTTGAGCGTCTTTGATTGGAATTTGTGGAAGCAGCCGAGGAATATATTATGCAGGTAGAGACTTCACGTGGTGCGTGCCGCAATGACGTCGGTCACTTTTTTCGCGTATGTTTTGGCACATTTTTACCTTGTATATTACTTTTCTTGTGCGCTAATGTACAGTAGAGTCCCTGAAAATGATGGAGACCGTTTAAGGGAATCAATCGACCAATTTTTAAAAAACCTGACCCCCCCAACTCGAACCGATCGGCTATACTTTAAATCGCGAGCGAACCAGTAGCGTTTCACATCCATTTTCACAGTTTGTTTGAATGCAATGCCCGAATTCCCGCGACCGCCTTCATAATTTTAACCGCCTCCCTGACACGCTGATTGTGCACGCAGTGGTCACGGACAAGTTTGTATATACAGTTTGTATATACAAACTTGTCCGTTTGTTTGTATGTACAGTATCTCTGTTTGCAGGTACGTGCTTGTACGTGCTTGGATATAGCACTTACCCGTAATGAAGTCACACCTCAAGACGCAAATATCACAAGTTCTTCAAGTCGTTTTTGTTAATCTGCGCCTGCCTACCTTGCTGGTGCTTTTCGGAAAATCGCAATGTACGTTCTCAATTTTAGGTGATAACTTTCGGCAAAGAGAACACCCTGACGCTCTGCTCCCTCTTCGTTAACTGCTATATCAACTTGCCTCACCAGCAGCTGATAATTGCTCAAACTTGCATCATTAGGCAAAACTGAACGGGCGCACGCACGAGGAAACGAACACGGCAGCGGTCGCCCACGGAGTCAGTAGGAACACGAGCATGTCGGTGGCGCATTTCGGAAGTGACGAATCGGCGCTGCGTGACGCACGTGCACACTATGTGTAGAGAGAGGGACTGTTTCGGCCCTTCAAATTCCAAAATTGTGATCCGTGGACGCATTGCCATATGAGAGTGATATGCCGCAGTGTAGGAATCTGGAAATTTTGACCACCTGGTGTTCTTTATCGTGCAACCAAATCTGAGCACACGGGCCTACAGCATTTTCACCTCCATCGAAAGCGCAGCCGCCACAGCCGGGATTCGATCCCGCGACCTGCGGGTCAGCAGCCGAATACCTTACCCACTAGACCACCGCGGCGGGGCGGGACATGGGAGATGCCCTTGCGCTGCAGTGGGCGTAATGAGGTGATGTGCTATGGTGTTTGGGCGTAATGAGGTGATGTGCTATGGTGTTTGCCAAAGCGCTCGTTTTACGCGAAGTCAGCTGCTAAGGTGGGCGACGAGGACAAGTTCCTACAAACTGCTTGAACGAAACCAGTGGAACACAAATGCGGATTACACCAGCTTGTGTTCACTGTCCGTGTTGTATTTGTCGCAAAATGAAAACCAACCACCACTACAGTGAGGAACGACCCATGAACGACCCGCCAGAGAACACCTCACCCGCAGCGAAAAGGCACGAAAGGGTCAACTGGAGGACGTCTTTCCGGTGTGCAGCAACAGCAGCGGGCGAGACAAGTGGTCCATGAAGCTGGTAAAGCGTTCTTAACGTCAGCG